AGACTTCTAACACTATTTTTTTCATGTACTTTTTTCAACTGTTTTAAAAATCTAAACAAATTTTGTTTTTTTTTATACAATTTTTACACTTTTATTAGTAAGTTTATAAACTTGTTTAAAGAAGGCAATTGAATTATGTGGGTTAAATTCCAAAAATAAAAACTACTTTTTTCTATAAACTTAAATTTCTTTTAGATCATTTTGGTTTGTTAGTCAATGTAAACATAACTCAATGGATAACACAAATATTATCTTCTTTAAAGTTGAAAGTTCCATCTCAAAAAATTAGTGTTTAAATTTTTAGACAAAAGAAAAAAGATTGTTAGACACATAATTAAACATTCGAGAATCTATTAAATATAAATTTGAATTTAAAGACCTACGAGTTCCCTGAATTGAGAGACGCATTAGTTATCACATTGAAAATTACCTATTATGTATTTTTTAAATTTATGGATTTATTAAAGGAGACAAAACTTACTAATTTAATTTTTTTTTCTTTTCTTAAATCAACCAAGATGGTACATGAAAGGACCAACAGGCAACAACTACCAACTTTCCCACTCAAAGGGCTAATCTAGCAAGAATATGAGCCGTAATGTTTGCATCTCTGATTCACTAATTTAACGTTTTCTTTTTCTTTTTTTTTCCCCTAAGTTTTTGATGAGGGCCAAAGAGATGGTGTGAATATTAGGAGTGGGAAGGAAAATTGACCTTGAAGGAATATTTCTTTATGGATATTACATTTATTTTTGTAATCAATTCAATTTTTCTTTTTTCTCATTTTTTTATTTTATTAAGAAATCTATATATTTGACAACTATTTATGTTTCTTGTTTCTCATTTTTTAAAAACATTCTCAAAATTGTATAGAAATTTTGGAAACAACAAATTAGAAAAGTTTCTTATTTTGATTTTCCAATTTGTTTTAAAACATAAATAAAAATAGTTTCACCCTTCTTATTTCATGAGCGTTGAAGTTATACAATTTTATTTTTCTTTATTAAAAAGAAGAAAACAAGAAACAAGAAACAAGAAACTTCATTACTCCTTAGGATGAGATCTTTGTCTTTTATGTAGAAACAATTCTTTCTCAATACCTTTATGATTTGGAGGAGGATAATGTTTAACGAATAGTTATAGTTTTGTTGGACCAATTTTGCACATTACTAATTCTCATTGGTGTAAACCTACTTGGTTGTTAATTCATAAATAAAGGTATTGTTATGAATGTGATAGATCGTAACTCTTCTATAAGTTTTTTTGAGCTCACTAATTTACCCCATAAGGAAATTGTATATGACAAATTTATGAAGAATGAAGACCCTCTTTGTTTTTGTATTTTTATTTTTATTTTTTATATATATTTGAAGTGTTCAAGCCAATTTCTATACACCTTAACTTATCTTATGAGACAAAACCACCTCTTTCTATGAGCACCTTAAGAAGAATTGATAATTTAGAGTGTGCGGTAAGTATAGTTTTTTTGAATGATCTTCTTAGATAGTTAAAAGTTCTTTTTAAAAAATCAAGATCAGGAATAAAAATACATTTTTAAAAATTTATTAGACTTCTTTAAAATTTGAAGAGATACTTAGAGAGAGGGTCATCAAAAAAAATTATTTTAATCAGAGTGGTTGACACTCTCGTAGTTTTAAGCACTTGAAAAATTGCTACTCATAAAAAAGTTCTTAAATTAAAAGATATACTAAACTCACCGCTATATCAATTTATTAAAATTAAATTTATCCTCAACGTTCAATTTATCCCATTAAACTGTAAACTTGAATAAGTGTTGTAATTTTTAAACAACTTTCGATTATATTTACTCATTAATTTATATAAAAAAATAGCATAAAAGATCTTGTAAAATAAAAGATTTCAACCAAAATCAAGTTTCAATAAATCAAAATTTTGGCAAATTAGTACACAAGATTGAGGATTCAATACTTCCAAAGCTCGCAAATTTCAACAAAATAGATAAGCTCTATAGTATCATCTTTTTCCGAAGCCCTATCAAATTTGTATCATATTTCTATTAAGTAATTTATTGAACACGTTGAGATTTTTTTTTTCTTTTAACGATTTTTCAAACGCGTAAGTCCCAAGGAACCTTTGAGATTTGGATCAAACAACTTTATTAAGATTTAAGAAGTTGTTTGATTCATGAGATCGGTTTCAAATGAGTTTGGTATCTTAAGTCGACCTCGTATTTGATCTATGAGTCTAAGAATCCTAAGCATCTTAAATATGAGATCGTGTGTTAATAGTATTTACTATTCAACTTCATAGGCAGTTTTTTTTCTTTTTTTTTAATATATTTTTTTTTTCTTTGTTTGTATTATTATTTTTTTTTTGTTTAAGGAAAATGTTTTACTTCCTAACATAATGTTTTATTTAAACTAATTTTTTTACAACAAATAATAATATTATGTCTTTTTCTTCAAAAAAAAAAAAATTCTTATTCTCTTCCTTTATTAATATCTAAATAGCAATGGTTCGAAATATATATTTAATTTTTAATAAGTGATTTTAAGATAAGAATGTTAATTTTTTAGAGACTTATTAATATTAGAATTAAAAATATATATTTAATTTGCAGCTATCATATTAAAATTACAAAAAAAATAATTAATTTTAAAATTAGCTATATTCAAACTAAGAAAAGTAAAGTAATTTATTTTGAACTTATAAAATTAAATAATATTTCATTTTAAATTATCAATGTAAAAGAAATTATTTAATTTTTAACCATGTGAAAGTAATAAAATTATTATAATCTGGAAGGACTAATATTCAAATAAAAGCTTACTTTGTAATTTACATTCTTGAAATTCCAAAGTAAATAATTAAAATCTAGAAGATTTCCAAGTTAGAAAATTAACTTCACAAATATTTTTTTGAAATGGTTTGATCATGAAATTTCTATGTGGATCAATTTCTCTGTTTCATTACTCTTAAATTTTTTTTTTGTCTGTCGAACTTATAATATCAATGGTAAATTTTGCTACAAATAATTGTGAACAATTTGGTTGAGTTTAAAACATGTCATTTGAACGATTTTTAACACATAACCTCTCACAAAATTGCAAATTATATTAGCTCTTGACTAAAATAAAACGTAAATACTCATTTCAATGGTTGCATTTGAAGGTCGAATTTGACAAAATTGAAAGTACATAATAAAAACCGACTTGGACCAAAACAAACATTGTACTATTCCAAGTGGGGGAAACATTAAAACCAATCAAAATTTCTTAGTCCTTGTTATTGTTGGACATCCATTCAATGAGCATAATCACCTTTTTGAGATCTCAAATGAATTGTATGTACAAATTTGTTGCAAATATTCCTAACTTGAAGTTCACTAAATGAATTGTAAATGGCAAAGTTTCAAAACAAGAACATATAATCAAGTTTGAGCAACAGCAATCAATTCCTCTCACCCATTTCTTGCTATAGTTAAGAGCAATGAAATCACTATAAAAGACCCTCTTTTTCCCATTTTGTTTGGTCCCAATCATCCATATTTTTCTTTCATCTTCTCCATCTTAGGAAATTAATTACATCCCTTCTTCCACTACCTTCTCTAATCTCTATCAATCAATATGGCATCCTGACATGGATGCCATTATTAGATCCAAATTTCTTTTACTTATAATCTTAGATACATCTAATCTTTTCAATATATTTTTAACTAGTCTTCTCACTTTTCACTTCATGTGTTAATGAAAGATTCTTATACGAAATGAGAAAGAAATAATATGGGAAAACTGAGTCGACTTTAACTTCCAATTTCTGTCAAATTGAGACTTTAAACTTTAATAAGTTATGGGATTTATACCCTCATTTAGCTAATTTGATCATTTTGTTGAAGATTTGTAGGCAGTTATGAGCATTATTATAGCTAAATGAAGCTATTTTTGTGCATACTATTTCTTTTGCAAGTTGTATTGGATACTTTTTAGGCCTTTTCTAACCCACTTGATTAGGTGGTCCAACTTTGGCCATTTTTAAAAATTTATGTTTTAAATTGTGTTGTTGGTCGAGTATTGTGTAATTTATTTGTTAATTTGTAGATCGTTTTTAAATTTAGTTTTGAGAATGTATTAAGCTTGATACTTATTGAAGTTTATAGTTCAATTTGATGAGATTTAGAGTTCGATATTAAAACTGATTTGTCGAGCTAAGTACAGGTGATGAACTTTTCTCAAATAACATAGTACCTTCCTATTTATTCAAGTTTACAGTTCAATAATGGGATTAAAAGTTTGACATTGAAACCAACCCGTTGAGCCGAGTACAAGAGTAAACAAATTACATTTTCAGCTCAATTTGATGAGATTGAGAGTTCGACATTGAAACCAACCCGTTCAACTAAGTACAGGTGTAAAGAGATTAAAGTTTTTCAAATAACATAGTACCTTCATATTTATTTAAGTTTACAGTTCAATTTGAGATTGAGTACAGGTGTAAAGAGATGCAATTTTTCCAAATAACACAGTGTCTTCATATTTATTCAAGTTTAAAGTTGAATTTGATGAGATTGAGAGTTCGATAATGAAACCGACCAGTTGAGCTAAGTACAGATGTAAAGAGAGAAAATTTTCCAAAATAATATAGCACCTGATGTCATATTCTTATATAATGCAACCTTTTTCAAAGTATTCTCAATTGGAAGAACATTGATACTAAAATTCTTTGGCTTGGCTTCTCTCTTTTCTGCTATCTTTAGCAAAGACAGATCTTTTCGCAGACCCTTATTGGGAAAAAGTTTAAAAGACATCTGTATGAAGTTGAAATCTTCATCACCATATATCTTCATTTCTGGAATTTCAGCTTTATGCAGATGCTTCAAAGTAATATTCATGAAAAGATGAAAGTGGTAAAAAAGGTAAGGAAAAAAAGAAAAGCAAAGAAGAGATAATGAGAAGCTATTGGTACATTTCCATAATATTGAAAATGGAAAATTTCATATCTACATGACCCAAGAACAAAAGAAAAAAAGTTCAAGTTCATGAGATTGATTGAGAGCAGCAATCTGGACAGCTGAAGCGACCTTTAGCGTTGCATCTCGAGCACGGGATAGAAGGCAGGTTCGATTCGTCTCTTCCAAACGATTCGTAAAAGTCAGCAAGAATGTTGACACCAAACAGTCCACCTGCTTTGGTTGATCCAACTCCTCTGCATTTTGAACATGCTATCATTCTCAGGTCACCACATCTCTTGCACATACCCAAGGAGCTGCCCAAAATAAACAACAAAAATCACATTGATTCTAGAAACCAAACCCAGGATAGTAAAATAAGTCCTATGTTGAAAAGCCCTCGGATATAAAACTCAGACCCTATTTGATAACGATTTTGCTTTTAGTTTTCTATTTTAAAAATCTTTACTTTCTTCCTCACAATACAATTTCTTAAAAAACACATTTGAATTCTAACCAAATAGAAAAAAATAAGTTTCTAAAACTGTGTGTGTATATATAACTTGCTATCAAAATTTTTTTTGAAAGAAAGCTCTTCTAAAAGGTAGATAAGGAAACCGACGCCAACCGACCAATTTTTCACCCCTAGATGAAGCCTCCCTAAAAACTAGTGGCGTGGGTCATAAGCATAATGCAAGGAACAGGGACCAATGTTCAACTTTGTTGAATATTCATCTGAATAGAAATGATTTAGGAAGTTTGCCTTAAAACAAGGACAAAGGAACAAAGAAAGGAAAAAAACTTATTCAATCTGGTTGTCCTCAAACCATTTGATACACATTCGAAATTCAGCTTTTAAACTCTCTATACATCCAATAGTGTAGAATCATCAACGTTCCAACCCATAAAATAATTTGTCAACAATGGAGGAGACTCTAATGAATCAGTTTCCTAACATCTATGTTTTTGGTTTCAATATGAAATAACAACTTCATTATCCATGTTTTTGTTCTGAGTCTTCTTTTTCCTTTTGAAATCAACTTTCCCCATCAAAATGCTGTTGATACAAGTAAAATTACATTGCATAAGATACAAACCAAAATGCATATATCATCAACAAACAGCCTCTTCAAGCTCCAACACACAGACCACAAATCACAAACCAATTTCACTTCCTTATCCACAAATGCTACAAAATCAATGAATCAATCAGTAACCAACAAACAGATTCGATAAACAAAAAACGAAAACGAACTTCTCTCCTAACGAGAACGAAGTAAAGACTCATGGGTTCAGTCCAATTCGTGTTCCCCACCGATTATTGGACTGAAAATAGGGTGAAATTTAGGAATTGAACAAGAACCCAGAAACAAGAGGGCATGGAAACGGGGTTTGAGAGTGAAAATTGGAAGAAAAAAATGGGATACCTGCGCTGAGAAGAAGAGATGAAAGCGTCGATTCTGGGAGCAGAAATGGTGGCGCAGACCAGCAGAGCCCCCACCGCGAAGCCGGCCACTTCGCTCGCTGTTACGTTCTCCATCCAAAATTATCGAATCCAATCGATTATCCATTAATATTAACTTCTCTTTTGTAATGAATCTAATATTTATTATTCGGTTTTTTAAACAATTGGCCTATTAGCTCAGCTGGTTAGAGCGTCGTGCTAATAACGCGAAGGTCGCAGGTTCGAGACCTGCATGGGCCAATTTATTTTGGCGGTTTTTTGGTTTTCTAAATGGGCCTTCATTTGTGGGCTTTTTCTTTGGTTTCATGGGTCCAGTGGGCTGTTGAATGCTGAAACGTACAAGCTAAAATGTAGTTTTAACAAAATAAGGATTCAAAAAGTAGATAATTTTAAAATACAACAAAATTACTTCTTACTCAATGGCAAAAAATAAAAAAAAATACTTTAATTAATTACTTATCTTTTTTTTTTAATCTATGAGAATAAAAAGATAAAATTTGTAGAAATTGTCATATATTATATAGAAGACAACCATGTAAGATTGTAGAATCTAAACTAATTTTGTAATTATTTGACTTGTTGGATTTTTTTTGTTAATACTTTCTTAAACTAGGTTAGTTCCCTTTAATTCCTAAAAGTTACATTTGAACATTTTATATTTTAAAAGATAATGTTAGATTTTGGTTTTTTTTTTAAAGTGAAAAAATAAAGTTAATTACCTGAAATAAGAAATATCGAAACAAAAGTACTAAAATATATAAGACATTGCTTCATTTTAACAAAAATTAATTTGAAGTTTCAAAAAAAAAAGAAGAAAAAGCAACTCAATTTTTAGTGGATTAATGGATATCTTTGGTCCATTTAAGAGTTATTTTTTTAATGAAAACATTTGGTCCATTTAATTAAGAGGCCAATTCTATAAACAACTGGCCTATTAGCTCAGTTGGTTAGAGCGTCGTGCTAATAACGCGAAGGTCGCAGGTTCGAGACCTGCAAGGGGCAACTATTTTGTGGTTTTTTTGGTTTTCTAAATGGGCCTTCGTTTGTGGGCTTTTTCTTTGGTTTCTTGGGTCCAGTGGGCTGTTGAATGGTGAAAAAGTAGCTAATTTTAAAATACAACAAAATTACTTCTT